GTGTATTTCTCAAGTAAGAGCTCTGAGTGACTGTACTGGCTTGCCACTCTGCAAGGCTCACATCGCTACAGAGACCCCCTCTGTGGCGATGATGGGGCCCTGCTGGCTGCATGCGCGGACACCGCACTCAGCCGACCGGGTTGAGGGACACGTGACCATGGCGGGATATTTGCGAAAATGAGCGGTGAGCGCTGCGCAACCACAACGCACGAGAAGTGGCCATACCATACTAACGTGCTTGCTCGCTCATTCGTTGGCTCGCTTGCTTGGAATTCCCACAGCGGAATCCACTCCAGACGTGAGCGGGCACGGTGCCGCGAGTGCACGGGGTGACTTTCACGTGGCCCCGTGCATCCCGGGGTAATCGGCCAGCACTGGGACTCGTCGAGAAAATTCCGGCACACGGCCGGCGCGCCCACAGAGGTGGCTCCCATCGTGCCGGGAGGAGCGTGCCGGCCGCGGTGCAGCGAGCGAGCGAGGCCCCTGGCATGGGTGCCCATTTCTGCGCGGTGCGCCGCGTGACGGATGGTGCCAAGGGCTCACTTGAGAGATACGATGATTCTCAAGAGCTTGCACGCCGTTAGCAAAGCAGGACGCTGACAGCATATGCCGGTTTTACAAGCATTGTGCGGTTAGACGGGCTGTGTACGCACTCACACAGCAAGGGTACTTGCATCTCTACAAGGAGAACGTGTGAGGTCGGCCAGGAGTGCACGAGGGATGTTTGGCGCGTTTAACTCTGTACGAAGTGCATTCCGCCGTCGAGGTTATACAACGCGTGCACACCGCCGACGCCACTTAATTGAGCACTTTTTAATCAGAGTTGGTCTGCTGACCTTATTGTGCACTGCGGTTGAGATTTCGGAGATGCATCAAATGTAGGAGGCAGTGCCAGGTCTCACCTGGTCTGCGATCCCCAGATAAATTGGCCACTTTGCTACGCCGTCTGAATGTCTTGGATCAAACAAATGAACGAGGAGTGTAATTTGGTGTAAAACGATGGGACGATGGAAGCCCTTTGTTTCTGGGAGTGAGGGGGTGTGAGCACCGGCACGATGGCCTCGCCGCACAGCCGCGCTCCCCGCTCTCGGACACCACTGCCGCACTCGCATTCCTACCGCCCCTGCCTTGGATTGGCTCCAGTTCTATTTATAGGTAAAATTGGTAATTTTTCTTGCAAATTCTGTTATTGGTCACGTCCAGAGCACAGGGCTGCACTTCCCAACAAGCAGACTGCTTCCTCCCAGATACTTCTCCTTGCTGAGCCCTCATTGGGCCTCGACGTGGTCCCGGAGACCTTCCCATATTTAATTTCTCCCAGTTGGACAGAAAACATTCTTTATTGTTTTATTCGGTGGTTTTCGAGCTTCCTGTACTTGTTTTAAAAAAAAAATCCACTGTTTTGATTATGGGTCGAGGCTGAGCATTTTTCATAAATGGGCTCTGCGGGGCTGCACTGTGAGAATGGCGAACTGTCACGGGGAGCGTCGAGGATGGGCCTCCACACTGCCACCGCCGCAGTGGTGGTGTTGGCGGCGCTGGCGGCGGTTGGACGGGGGTCGCGTGGCCAGAAGCGGTGCCCCCTCTTGGGTCATGCCCCCTGCCGCAGCCCTCGCGGACGGGACACCGTCGCTCGGAGCCGTGAGTACGACCCGTGGCTTCGCCCCCGCTCCTGCCGAGCGACGTGGGCCGCCGTCAGGTGAACGAAAGCACGTCCCTGGGAGGGCGGCGTCCTGGGCACCTGCTCTCAAGGGCCGCGTACACTTGTGCAATGCGCTTCCGAATAATGTGTAGATGCAGAATTAGATTAGCGGCATTAGCCTTAAGCTGTCTAACCCATTTAAGTGTTCCTTGTGTGTGTTTGATAAGTATGTTAATGCTGGAATTTTATGAATGTGTTATTGTTATGTTGGTATTGGACGTTCCCTTTTAGATTTGGTAAAGCACGTGCATCTGCGTTGTGTAATAAGTGCGTTATGTTGAGAAGAGGGCAAGCTCAACATGTTTTTAAGTTCATGAGATCGTCCCGTTCATAACCCTATGATGACATGAGTTCACTCTGTCGCTAGGCAGGAAGGAGAGAAATTCTCCATTCACATGTTTCTATTTCTTCTTCATATAAATAATCACTGCTGTGAAATTGATATAACAATGTCAAAAATATGTGCATGTATATACAATATTGAGTATTCTTTCTAAGTATAGCAATCAATCGTTAGGGTGCCACTCAAAATTCATGTTTTTTTTTCAAGGTCGCGCCTCCTGGTTTACTTTGTTTACTCGTGAAACTGAAGCCCTTGCAAGTTTAAAGACAATCCCTCAATATTTAATGGTTGCTGAAAGGAGCAAAAAATGCATTCCAGTCAAGACACACTCATAATAGAGGCACATATGTAGAGGAGAGGTGGAGGAGGAGAGTCCTTGGCAACTTGTAGTGGCTATGAACAGAGGAGAGGTGGAGAGTCCTAAACATTACCACCCGTCACCAGTCATCACCCGTTACCATTTGTTACCAGTCGTCACCAGTCGTTACCCATCACCAGTCGTTACCCGTTACCAGTTGTTACCAGTCGTTACCCATCACCAGTCGTTACCAGTTACCAGTCGTTACCAGTCATCACCAAATTTAGACTTAAAACTTTCGTGACTGCAAGAATTCATATTTTTGGTTTTTTCGATTAAGTCACGTAAATAGAAAATAAAAATAATAAAATAAAATTACAAATGTTCTATTTAAATAATTAAATTAAAATAATAAATTGAAAATAATAAAAGCAAAAAACCTACAATAAAAAGAAATTTCTTAAAGGTTTAAAAAAATATAGTAAAATAAAAAAAGTCACCAGTCGTCACCCGCTATCACTCGTCCGTCTAGAGGCCGACCGAAACTGAGTTTCTGGTTTTGGCCAAAACCGAAACCAGACCGAAAGTAAAAAAATTACTTTCGGCCGAAACTGAAGCCGAAACCGAAAGTTTAACTTCACTTTCGACCGAAACAGAAAGGTACATAACCGAAGTTACCGAACACAAGATTTATGAATTATGTCAGGATGCAATGCTACTTTAGTTAAAAAGAAATCTAGAACTATTCATTCAGAGCTTGCAGTAAGAGTTGCTAAATATCAAATCTTTAGGTGTTACTTGCTTAGTAATTATATCCAAACAAACGAATGTTGTAGTTAAGAAACAACAGTTTTTACGCATTCAGCCAGACAGCCTGCCATCTGTTGACCGGTCGTATATACATTAGCAGACCATGGTTGCGGCTGTAACCTCGTTCCCAAGCTGCTGCTGCTGACGTGTGTGTGTGTTTGCAGCCTATCGCATTGGATTGTCTAGCGCCGACTGACCGGCCGATAGGCAGAGTGAAAGTTTCAGTTTCATTTATTAGGTATAGCCCTGTGAGCCATTTGGCTCTTGAATCGGGTGCAACTGCAACAAACAAAAAAACATGAACAAGAAAACATCTTAAAGTGACTATGTGAATATGTGCAAACATAAAATCCAAGAAAATACAGCAAAATATTGCAGAAAAAGCACCGTACACCAACGCTGTGTGCAAAAATCCCAGTCGGATGCAAGTCAAACAACAACAACCACAAGACAACTTAGATTAAGGCCACCAGTCTAACTCCGCACAACAAATAAAGCCATAAAAGCAATGTAACAGTGTTCATAGGAACTGTGACCGAATTTTCACAATAAACGACATAAACAACATGTACCACCAAACCCTGCAGCCATAGCTGGCTGCATGAGTCACTCCACAACAGCAGAAGCATCAGTCGCAGTATCAAAAATTTTCAATGCACCTTTAAGATCAGCACACTAAATCAAAACACAGATCATACTTTGCAGCGGTCATCCGGAGCGAAACATTTTATTTTAGGCCACTGAATAGCAGTGGCAGCTAGGGGTGTACAACTCCTCTAGAGCAGTTTTGAGTCAAGATCTCATAGGTAGTGATTCAAGTTGCAGTTTATTGGCAATAGCATTCCAGACCCTGGGGGCATCAATAGCAAAGGCTCTTCCTGATAGATGTAGCACTAGCATTATATTCTAAAAATAGATCTTCAGTTGACAAATGACCGAAAGTCAATATCAATCCGAAACCGAAAGTATACCGAAAGAGGCCATTTGCCAACTTTCGGCGCCGAAACCGAATTTCGGTCGGCTTCTACATCCGTCACCTATTACCACTCGTCACCAGCCATCACTCGTTACCAGTCGTCACCCGTTAACCCTGTCGATGGGATGATGAATGGCATACAATCTCTCGCTTTCTCTTAGCGTTGTCTCTCTCCATGTCTATGTTGTCTCTCTCTCTGTATATGTGTCTCTCTCAGAGCTTGCATTAATTCACACCTGATGATGGTTGCTTGTGTTGCAATCGAAACGTCGTATTCTATTACTTATTTTATTTTATTTCTACGTGACTTTAACGATGACTATGTTTTAGGCCCAGACTGGGCTGCGTTCAAAATGCACAGCAGCAGCATCGGCCAATCGGGGGAGCCTCAACAAAACTAACATGGCTGCTTTAGCATTGTGAAGAATTTGACCACGTGGCCATAAGTGGCCAATCAGGAATCTGTGACAAAAATCTTGACTTAAAGCTTTCGTGACTGCAGGAATTCATGTTCTTTGGGTCTTTCGGTGGCTTTACCGAAAGACCCAAAGAATATGTGACAAAATGTTTTGCGTATACATCCATTGCTGGAAGAAGGTCTTCCCATGCCATGCGAGTTGTGAGTTAATTGACAAACCATATTCCGCTGATCAGCCCAGGTTGTTGTGAAGCTGGCAGGATAGGCGTGGGAGCATAGTACTGTACAATGGCAGATTTTCCTGCACTGCCTTATATTGCCCATGTCATCTGCTACCTGCCTGCAATACACGATAATTATGATGATGACCGACGATGATGATGGTTACAACAATGATGACGATGGCATTGGTGATGAAGATGCTGACGATGAGGCCCTCGTGTGCATGTGCAGATGTATGGGAGGTACACGCAGGAGCTGGGAGAATTCGCAAAGAAGGAGGCGGCACGGATCCGCGTGAACGACGCCCGGCGTGACAAGCGGCAGCTGCGGACGCGACATAGCAAGGAGCACGACACGCCACGATGGAGACGTGAGTCACACACGCACGCACACGTACATACGTCCATGGACGTACAAAACAAAGACCCCCCCCCCCATATAGCCTTTAACAAACCGTTGAGGCAAGTGCTGTTGGTGGCTGGCACCTGTGTAGACTGGCACGGCACGGGCCCCTGACTGGCTTTATCTCTCCATTGTTTATATTTACACTCTGCACCAGAAACTCATTTAAGGCCTAGTCCACCTAGGGGAGGCTCAGGACCAGTTAAAATATTCGCCGCTGTTATCTGTCATCAGCAGAAATCGAACTCGGATTGCTGGGTTTGTAGTGCAGTACGCTAACTTTTACACGGATGCACATAGATGTACGTATACAAACACATGCGACAAGGAAATCTGGATGCTCCAGTACAGATGTGAGCCACTGACATGAGGTTGAATTGAGACAATTATATAAACCCATGTGCTTTTGTATTTTATTGCTCCATCTTTAAAAAGCTCCACATGGATCTTGCCTTTAGGTCAGGTGATTATAGGCTACAGAATTTACAGAGCAGGGCCGGACTTCTTTATTCAAGGTGTGAGACCGTCACTCTTCGTGTACACGGTGACAATACCGCTGCGCACCGAGGCTGCCGTTGGGCCAGCCTCTCCGGCAGTCAACGTGAACCGTGACGCGCATGGCGATCGCCGGCGGGTCACGATTCGCGCCATTCAACGGGAATCTCAGCTTGTGGAGCTGTTTTTTTGCAATGCAGGAAGCGCTCCGGCAAAAACACAGGGAGCCATGTGCTCAAAATAAATGTACGGGCAGGATTAATGGACGTATCCTGTTGCTGTGGAGCCATGGTGTTTCTGGACGTGTTTGTGACACCAGCTCGGAGTGCCGGCAGTGCACCTCGCCGCTGTGCGATGCTATTTCTAACGCTACGCACACAGCCACTCACGCCGATCCAGAACTTCATTGAAGCAGCAAGTCGTTATGTGACACTGACAGAGTTCAGATAGAAATCTTAACGCCACTTACCGACAGACAAAGGGTAAAGGTGGGAGTGACGGCTCGGTGGTTAGCGTACCACACTTTGAAAACGCCGAGTTATATTCCGTACCATGCCTACCACTGGAAGTGAGTGACATCTAAACTTTGTTCTAGGTCTTCCACATTCACCAGCACGCACTGGTGAAGAATGGTCAAACAAACCTCACGACTGAGACTGTATGGGAAGACCTACATCCAGCTCTGAGTTGTCAATGGAGCGCAAGTTATCTCTCTGTGTAAATGTAACTTCCCTATTCTCCTGTGCAATGATGGCACCGACTCTGAGCAGGAAAGTGCCTCGTCAGAGGATGGCACAACTAACACCTTGCGGACCCCAGCCTGTGCATCAGGCATGTCATCATGGCACTCGAGCCAGATCACTGTCCTCTTACTCATTGTAATGCAACGTCGATGCAATAGCTGGCTGGTGGTGGCGGTGCACGCCAGTAATCCAGCTCAAAGTTAAATTTCGATTTAAAGCTTTCGTGACTGCAGGGATTCATCCTCTTGGTTCTTTCGGTAAAGTCACGTAGAGAATTGTTTTATTATGTTTTATTTTTATTATTTTATTACTTCCCTTCTACGTGACTTTACCGAAAGAACCAAGAGGACAGCTCAACGTTGCAAAACTCCCTTGCTGTGAGTGTCGAGGAGGTACCATACCCAGGCTCGACAGAGGAAGGCAATATGGCAAGCGGACTATCGGCATCAGGTAGGTTAAAATAAAACAAATACATTAAATCACGACGTTTCGGAGGCAACACAAGCTTCCGTCTTCAGGTGAAACCGACACAGCAATATTGCTGTATCAAGTGAAGATAAGTCCCAAGAGACCCGACCTTATATATACTGGTTGAGGGGGGAGGAGCCAGGATGGGCGCGGGAGAGGAGTTGTTGTGAGATGGTCAGTATGGCTGCTGGAACTGAGCCTTTGTCATGTAGATGGCAGAAGTAGATAAGCAAGCTTGGATTAAGCCGCCTTTTGTTATGCTGCTGGGTGGGTAAAATTCAAAGCAGGCCACCAGCGTGTGAAAAAAGAAGCTAAACATGATAAGCAACGTGTGGTGATGTTGATGGTGGTGCGTGGAGCTGGAGGTAACAGACTGGTAATATGGATATGTTTAAGAAGATACATCTAAACTGGCTGTCTATCAGTAAACTGCACTGTAACTAAAGTTTAATTTGGTTAATTACATTTTTACAATGATTGCTCAATCTGAATCCATCATCTCGGTTGAAGTTATGCAGTTTACTGATAGCCAGTTTTGTTTGATCATGTTTAGCTTCTTTTTTCACATGCTGGTGGCCTGCTTTGGATTTATTTGTTTTCATTTAACCTACGTGACATTACCGAAAAAACCAAAGAGTATGAATCCTTGCAGTCACGAAAGCTTCAAATCTAGAATGATCGGCATCAGTTTCTATCTTTCTGGGGCTAGAGTGTTGTGTGGGTGTTCTCCAGGTGCTCCGGTTTTCTGCAGTTGTATAAAAACTTATTCATTGGCTAAAACATCTTAAAATAAAAACCTAATGAAGCAGGACCATCCTGAAAAGAGTACTGCGACTCAGTATGCCTCTCCGTGATATAAAAAGTAAATTATATTTATTTCAGGTATCCGAACTGCAATTTGAAAGTCTTATTTTCTCATTTTATAAAGTTTAATCCTTGTGAGGGACAACCTGGTTACACACAGTCTAGGTATGTGCCTACCTGTGACACCATCAGCCAAATCACAGACGAGGCCATGAGCAGCGATCTAATGTAACCGAGCGCAGCATGGTTACAGTGTGGAGCTTGCTGTGGTTAATGTGGCGGTGCTGACATTGAGCCGGATTAGCGTGCAAGGGCATTGTTCCTGAGGAATTCTACCGCTCGACGCGGCTGGTGTGGCGGCCCGTGTCCACCTCCTGGGTCGAGACACACGCAGTGGTGACTCGAGGTTCCAGGTTGAGGGGGCTACATTCTCCACTCGATCTGAGTCTATGGGTCTCGATGTGAGTTCATGGGTCTCTGTGTGAGTCACTGGGTCCCTTTGAGGGAGCGCTGATGATGAAGCCACTGCCAGCATATTGCAGTTACTCAATTACTCCACCTGCATGACACGTTTTCACCTGAGACTGGAAATCCCAGGGTACAGTTCATGACCTCCTCAGCCTGGAGTCCCGAGATGCGAGTGTGCCACCTAACCAGGCCCTGCGGGCGAGATACACCTCAGAGTTCAATCAGAAAACCCGAGGCATTTTCATACAGCTTGTTATTATTCTCAGAAAGCCTCATAGAGTCTCATGACTCATGTTCAGGAGGATCCTGCTAAGTTTTCGCAGAGGTAGATAATGATTGCTGCTATGTATATTCAAATTGAGTAATTTACAGGTTACTGTGACATCACACAATGGCCTACTCTTGGAAATGACGTCATGGGATCTTTAACGTCCACTGCGCTGCTGACGATGCATGTCTTCATGTTTAATTCAATGCCTGCAGTGTTAAGAAGGTAGCCACTGGGTTCTACAACAAGCGGCGACCGCGCTTCCCCTGGGAAATGTGGGAGCGCATAAACGTGGGCTGTACAAGTGCATGAGGAATTCCCAGCCTGGCTTGCTCCATGTGTCCCTTGAGATGCAACTTCAATTGTATTTAAAGGTTGTATGTGTGCTGAGTGTCATGTGAATCCTGTGTACTTGCTGTGAGGTTTCAGGCAGGGGGTTTATGTGATGTGTGTGTAGTGGTGTGACTTTGTCCACTCGGTTTGGGAACTGGAGTCTGCGCGGTGGCGTTGCACAGGTGAACGGCCGTGGCCCTCCAGTGGGTTTTCTTGACGTGGTGCATCTGAAAGATTAATCGTAACTTGTTGGCAGTGAGTTTGAGAGTAGTTGAGTAAAATTACAAGCATTAGCAATCTTTCACTGTTCTCATATGAAACAATTGAGGAATGAATACAGTCCACATCTTGATATAGCAATTAATTTATTTGGAAAAATAGAATTAATTTACACATGAAACAATGCTATTCACGAGGCCATCATATCTGGCACACTCATAGTCTGAGTGTTTCTAGGCTGCACAAATCAGAACCTGAAGTTATTTAACTGATTGCTGACACAGGGCTGCAGTGAATAAGCATTTGTCACAACTGGATTAAGTAAAGCTTCCAAAGCTTTCCATAAACAAACTCTCTCCTCTCATTGTCTCGTGTACCCAATCCTCATCTGCACCCACGCCTCGAACTACCACCTGTAATTGCACAATCAAGGTGTCCACCTCTGGGGGTCGATCCCTCCGATCTGGAATGGCTGCTGGGATAAAAAGTTCAGTCAATCACCATGGGCATGTAAGCGAGCCATTGGAAGTGGTTCAACTCCCCATGGAGTTGAACCGCGTGTGTCTCTGTTTGTCTCTGTGTGAGTCTCTCTGCTTGTGTGTCTGTCTGTATGTCTCCGTGTCTATGTTTTGTCTCTCTCTCAAATTTAGCAATCTTTGGAAGAACGTAATCAACCAGGTGGGGTGTTGACTGTTGTGTTGGCCGACTCTCTGTGTTGTATTGCATTATATTCCTAAGTTTACTATGTTTGTTTTCTCATTCATTTGTACCTGATTATGGTTGCTTGTGTTGCAATCGAAACGTCGTATTCTATTATTATTTAATTTAATTTATTTCTACATTACTTTACCGAAAGAACCAAAGAGTTATCCCCATGGAATCTCCGGTACGGCACAAGGGCTGCTTCACAGAGGCCACGGCACTTCCGCAGTCGCACGCGTCGCGCAGAGTCGGTTTTAAGAACCTGTCGTCTCACTTGAAGTGAGCGGCTCGCTCGCGAGGTCGAGTCCGGGATCTCTGGGGGGGGGGGGGGGGGGGGGCGGCAGGAACGCAGATCGGAGACGGATCGGAGCTCCGAGGCTCCGGCTCGGACTGCGCATACCCTGGCTTGCTGGAGACCTGTAAACAGCCAGAGCATTCCTCCCCCACTTATTTTAGAACAATTACACG